CTTCTTTTGTAAACACGGCTTGTTTAGGCCATTTTGAAATCTTAAGATAGATGAAAGCCGTCTACTAACGACTTTTGTTCGGACAAGAGGTATAGATACTACCTACATCTTGTCAGCAGATAATAGACTTATAACGTATGTAATTATTGTATTTTTTGTAGCATTTCGAATAGCAGTTCCAGCATTTCGAAATAAATATTCAGTTAAGTATAATTTATAGCATAAGAAATTTTACATATTCCCTTGTTTCAAATGCATTAATAAAGTTTGAAAAATAACCAAATAAAGGTCTAAATCATTTATACAAAAATAAAGATAGCTGAAAATAAAAAAGATTCAAATTAAAACATTTCTGGCGAGGATAAATGTATACGAAAATAAAAAAAGTTTCAATCAAAATAAAAAACCTTGAATATAAAGAAAAAAATGTAAATATTTCTGGCTAGAAAAAATAAATTAAATACAAACTCAGGGTAACTACTTATATACAACGTTCAACTGAATACGTCCAAGTCACTCGGTTTTACTTTAATCACCGGTGGGTCTCCATCTGACTGTCTGCAGCGAATTTTACCTCCACTAAACCAAACATATTTTATTTTTACAGTAAATTTCTTCTGTCTGGCTAACCAATAGAGGTGTTTATTAGTGGACATCATAGCTTCACTCACATAAACGTGGTGCGAGTCATTCTCTCCCCAGCCTAGATGTCGGTTGGAGAAATCTCTCTTTGTTTTTCGCTGTCGCACTAACTCATCTTTATCATTGACCGGACTTATATAGAATTTTTGTTTAATGTCATTTCTAACAAAAAAATCCAGTGGTGTCTGGTCTGGAGAGCGTGCAGGCCAAGCCACTGTCCTGCAAGTCCTGCACGGCCAATCCATTGATATGATTGAGCAGGTCAGGTCAATGACCTTAATTCCTTACGAAGGATAATTGAACCTTGTGAAACAATAGCACATATCCAGTGCCGTTCTGCCACTGCTGCTGTCGCTCAATGAAATCACTTTGAACAACATTTAATATGAATGTTAATGTTTACATTCAATAAAAAAATTAGTTGGAACAAGTAAATAGGTTTATTTATTTCATATAACGTAAATAATTAATAACAACGAAAATCTTTAGGTGTGAATATCTCCTACACAAAGCGTTTGCGGACATACTGGAAATTTTTTTCTTGTTTTAAGGTCGTTAGTTCATTTTTGCAGTTTGGCCACTTAACCCTGAAACACCCTGATTAATTGTACATGTAACTATTTTATACCTATCATATTATATCATATCTAACTTAGTTTAAATGCTGTATCTCTAACACAAGAGTTCAAAATCATTTCATGCGTTAAAATTATAAATTAAGGAATAACTGTAGTTTTTCTGTTATCCACAATTTCATGCTTTTTCACTGCACGAAAATCCAGTCTCCACTCATCTCAATTTCAGCCTGAGGGTGTTCAAAACAAACATAGGATTACTGATTCTGTATTAGACGTTTCAATCTTACACACAAAGTAACACTATTTTGCTTTGAAAAGCGACAATACTAGAAGCTGTACGATTTTTGTTGACTGTAGAATGGAGCTTTTCCATCCGCAAATAACGCGTTTGAGAAAATGTTTACCTTCTGGCTGTAGATGGACTGAAAGCCGGAATAGGTTTTAACTTCCGACAAACTCGAATCTACGAGGAAAAGTGGGAAAACCATTTCCCAAGGAGTCAGTTTTCTTTTTATCCGACCACTCACCGGTTATTTGCGGGTTTGGAACCAAGTTACAGCAAAGTTTATCCAATAAGATAAAATATTTCTGGGAACTTTATCTAGTTTCTCCAGTGTACTTAATTGATTTTTTCTGTTCATTCCTGCTATCCGTAATAGCAGGTACTTATATTTATTTTTTTATTTTTAAGTGAATAATAATAAACGTCTGAATATTAGGTTTGACTAAGTATTAGTTTCTTGGTCGAAACTTAATAGTTTGAATTATTCCTTCCTTTTCAACGAGAAACTTTCTCTTCTCTTAGTTCGTTCCCTTCGCAAATCACATAGATTAATACCTCCTAATTCACAAACTTCCCAATTGTAATAAATTAAACAAGTTTTATCGTTATTAATTAAGGTTATAACAAGAAATTTATGCCTAAAAGCTTCAGGATGAACTATACTTAAGTTCGTTATATAACTTAAAAAGGAAAAGCATTGTTCCCTAAAACTATAGATAAACAATGCAAAATCCAATACTCCCCTTGAATCTTACTCCTCGTTTCACATTTTCTTGTTTAATTAAGATTTATTTATTCTAATCTGTTTTGGGGGGATGGGGTAGCTCAGTGATAGGGAGCTTACTTCTAATGCTCAAGGTTTCATGTTCGAATCCAACTGAAGATAAATTAAATATTCTGTTTCGTCGGCCGTGGATCGATTCTTGGTTCGGGAGATCCTTCTGGGGCACATCCAGTCTCTATAAAGTGGATTTCCTTAATTAAATGATTAATTAAAGTAGAAAAACTGGCGATGGAGCGTGATATCGGTCAAATCATCTACTCGCAAAACCGATGACCAAGAAACAGTACTTCCTTACAAAGTATTGAACTTAAAGAAGGTCATGGATTGTAATGGTACATTTTTTTTTATTAATATGTTTTTTAAATAAGATTTCTAATAAAAATAAGTATTTGAAATTTTAAGAACTACTACGTCACGTTATTTATAGAAGTGAATATGGTACTCAGGAAATTCTCCAATTTTAAAATGTAAATAAAATCATTATATAAGAGACTGTCGAATAGTATACAATTTGAACATTTCTAAAATACATAAAACAGTCTAATACTACCTAATAATAGTATAAATTTATTTGAACTAGTAGTTCTACTTTATAAACCTAATTCAATTTGATTTTTAAAAATCGTAAAATGAGTTAATTAAAATATGCTAATATTTTTCAAACCATACGAACCCTTAAATGTATCTATATAATATATAATACTGGACTTACACAATCTTCAAAGAAAACAACTCATTTATTAAAAATTTCCATCATCTAAAAATGTTGATAGGTGTATATTAACCGATTTTATTTTTTAATGGCATTGTGCTTCTTCCTTTCCCCGTAGCGGTTTCTTTGTCGCCGCTGCTGGAAAAGAAGCCAAGTGGGTTGTCCAGTGATTCTATAATGATGATGACCCGACAATTATCCGCAATTACCGTCCTGTGAAGAGTTCCTTCCTCCGCATCGGCTAAACTCAATTTGCTGTCCTCTATTTGATACTCTGTCTCCAGCAGGATGTATCTCTAATCTCTTTACGCGATGAATATATTTTTCTTTTTTTTTTCTTTTTTTCATCTGTTCTGAGAGTTTTGTTGGGATATCTCAGAAACGTCTCTTTATATGAAACTGTTTTTCAGATAACCAACAATTTTATATGAAAATTTGTTAGAGTACAATTATTTTTTCCATAAATCATAAACTCATTAAATGTTATTGACATTGGATAGATATCTTTCACTCTTATGCATTCGACTCATAGGCGACTTCAGCGAAACATATTTATACCTAAATGCAATTAAATATTATCAAGATAGTATATACAATATACAAAATTTACAGTAACAATTTACTTGATAACTGATTAGTTAGTCCCATTGGAAATTATTGGTTTGAGTTTAATATACGAGTATATCGCAATATACTCTCCTATCCCTAAAATCACACTATAATTTATCATTGTATTCTCTGAAGATCAATTTGTTTGGTGCAGAAGAGCCTTGATTTGTAGTTCTCTCACTAAGAGCATAAAAGTCTGTTACTGAGAGTATAGAAGCTCTACATGGAATTTCTTTTTTAAATATATCAAAAAAAAAAAAATTATATTATCGGAATTGCTCAAGGGATCATAGAACTATTCTCCTCCATCCACTTTTTCAAAAGATTTTTAATCGTCGAAGTATCCCGTGTCATTTTGAAAATTTAAAACGCAGGGCTTTTCCTTTGGAATTATACCAGGTTTCGATGATCGTGTTGAAATCTTTAAACACAATTTATCTCGTCTCGATTCCTTGACCTCAGACCAATTATTTCAATGACTTTTATTTAATTTGTTGAAGGAATTTTATGATCGAAATCGGGATTCGTCGCTTCTACATCAAATTATCTTTCGTTTTCTACCTAATTTAACGATGTTAACCATTCCATCTTTTTGTTCAAACTAAAATTATTATTATTATTCGACAGCTCAATGTTTTTGTTTCAATAATTTATCTATCTGTGCATCTAAGCATTTGTCACAACTAATTAATCTTTATCTAACTTTTAGCTCATATATTAACGACCTTAGTAAGCCAAATGTTCATTTTTCCCTTCACCTTCATATCAACGAATCCCAGATTTATCAATAGAGTTTGCCTAAATTAGAGAAGACCTTGATCGAATCAATGCTTAAGGAAACTCTAATGGATTATGGTTAAATGCTGCTATAATTCAAGCCATTGTCGATTGTTCCAAATTCCTTAAATCCAATACCAACCTTTCCAGATTACACCTGAATGGCTACTCCATCACTTTCTATTCCTCAATTAAAACCTGGCTTCGTCATTGACTAAATCCTTATCTGGATTTATCAAATTGCTCTTCCAAAGGGTTGTTCTAAAGGTACAGCTAAACCTATTCTAGTGAAAGTGGGATGGTCGAAGTACACACACCCATCATCCATAAAATTAGTACTGTAAATTAATTATAGGAGAAATCTGGCCTTATAACATCCTTGCACGACCGTTGGCCTGGAAACGCTACCTTGCAAGTTACTGAACCCAAGACCCTTCTTCCAAAAGGTTCTTGTTCGTTTTTCAATTACCTACTCAATTATTTTAACAACAGCCAGAGTCACATTATTCTGAATTATTTTATTTGTTAACGGGGCCATTAATATTTAGTAATTAATTATTCTTTATCCCAACCACTCATATTTTACTTATGCATATATTTTTTTTTTTTTTTCAGAAATGAGATGTACCGAATCGAAAGGCAATTTGGTAGCCTAGAAGAGAAGACCATATGAACGTGTTGACCGCTGAAAAGACGGAATGGAGGCGGCGAGGGAGGATGAATCTGGAGGGGAGGAGCAGAGGCGGGCCGTAGAGACCGAGAAGCTGCTGAGAGGCCTGCGAGGCTCGGCCAGTTCCCTGGTCCTGGCCTCCAGGCGGGGCTCCATCGTTGTATCGCCCACCAACGGGGACCTCCTCAAGTCCCCCCTCAAGGAGAAGCTCATGAGTAAATCCTTGCACGTCCAGTTCCACAATGGCGGCATCAACGGCCTCGAAAAACCGCCGCCCTCCCTCAGCTCCAGCAGCACGAGCTCCTTGGGACAGTTCTCTGAAGCCAGGTCACCCGATGGCGGCTGGGGCTGGGTCGTCGTCCTCGCATCCTTCCTTGTCAACCTGATAGCTGATGGCATCACCTTCTCCTTCGGCATTATCTACAAGGACCTGGAACAGTACTATGGAGAAGGCAAAAGTAAGACAGCGTGGATCGGATCGTCATTTATGGCGATACCACTGTTGTCCGGACCCATTGCCAGCTTCCTGACGGACAGATATGGATGCAAGAACTGCTGCGTGGTCGGAGGGATCTTGGCGGCCAGCGGTTTTGTCATATCCGCCTTTACCACCTCCTTGGGAGAATTGCTCCTGTTCATCGGGATCCTGGCCGGGTTCGGGCTCTCCCTCTGCTACGTAGCTGCAGTTGTTATCGTTGCTTATTACTTTGACTCGAAGCGGTCATTGGCGACTGGGCTGTCGGTGTGCGGCAGCGGTATTGGGACCTTTGTTTTCGCTCCGGTGATTCAGTTTTTACTGACGGAGTATGGCCTGCGAGGTACATGTCTCATCCTCGCTGGCATTTTGTTGAACCAGTGTGTGTGTGGTATGTTGATGAGGGACTTGGAGTGGACCAAAGCTAAAAGGCGGACTAGAAAAAAGAAAAATAAAGCTAATACAGGATCTAGTATAGATACTTATTCAGCGACAAGTGTACAGCAACAAACTCCTACCTCATGCCCTAGTGTCGATGAACTTAAAAGGCTTTTACAAAAACCAGGTATGAAACAGTATTTTATTATTAATTATTTATAAATAGTGCCTATACAAAATATTGGACAGTTCATACAGATTTGGCCATAAATTATGTAGTATTTAGTAAGCTAAATAATGTGTGTGTATTTTACCACAGATTTTTATTTATAATAAACAACTTAAATTTCTTGCTCTACCAATATACACCAACTAAATTATGAAACAATATTATGTGAGGTGGCATTGGTATCATATTGGTTCTTGAACAATATATGTAATAGGAAGGAACTATAGAACATTGCCACTGGACCTGATTACTTAACTGAGTACGAGGTTGGTGTGATAATTTGAATGCTTTCTTTACATAATTTTGTGTTAGGTTTTCCAAAAAGTGAAAAACATTCAGTATCCTTATTTATACAGATGGCCAACTGAATCACTCTAAACAAATAAGACTATAAATTCCCTATAATAATAACTAGTTAAGTATCCTAAATGTGTTGTTACTTTTTATAACTTAAAATCCATGTAAAAGATTCCTGAAACATGATTGTGTATAATATTTCTGTGTGCTCAAAATATTAATTTTAATATTTCTTATTCATTTTTTATTGTAATACTCCAATCTCACAATATTTCTGACTAAAACATATAAAAACACTATTTCCTCAGGTGTACAAATTCCTGAAGAGAACAAAGAGGAGGCTCAGAAGCTATGGAGCTCCTTAGTCAACCTTCCAACATTTGTGGCAAATGGAGAGAGGGTACCTTTGGAAGTTCTAGAAATGCTTACCACTAACAAGCATCTCACAGCTGTACTTTTACATAATTATCCTAGTCTTCTTATTACTTCCAGAAGCTTATCCGATTCTGCCAAGATTGCAGAAATTGTGAGTGTTACTTTCTGTGCCTTTATCTTCTTATTCATTTATGGAGGTCTTCTGTTTCAATAAAACAAATTTTAAAAAATATTAATTATTCCTTTAAGAAAACTGATATAATTAAATACTCTGTGTTCAATAAGATCCTGACATGTAGGCTCATTTATTGTTTGAGTGTTTTTTTATTGAACACAGCAATACTTACTGATGTAGAATAAAGGTCTGCATTCACAGTTTGTCTAGATTGCAGCACTTCAAAATGAACTACGCCGTGAATACTCTTCACCAAACACACAAAAGTGCTTTTTTGGGTCTAAATCTGATTTAATAGTACTTCGTGACGATTCTTTCGGGATTATCATACAGAACCCATTTTTTATCTCCGGTTATCAAGCAATCAAAAAATCACTTTGGTATTGTGCCGTTGAAGGAATAAGTTGCATATGGTGGTTTCCCAATCTGCTGCAAGTGTTCTTGGATGGTCGATCAAGGTTGGTCAAGACTGTTTGACAATTCCTCGATTGTCTGAAAGGGATTTGCTTCCACTTCTGCCCTTGACATGTAATTGTCTAACGTTGATGGTCTTCCTGATCGATACGAGTCGGAAAGATCAAAATTACCGAATTTGAAGTTGAAAAACTACCTTTGGCATTTATGAACCTCTAATGCATTTGGATAAACATCGCAAATGTTTTTGGTAGCAACTATTGCGTTACTACCCTATCAAAACTCTCGCAAGCATGCAATGCCATATATGTTTCTCTTCTGGTATTTGGCTGGCCATTTTACCTAAAATTGCAACAAAAAGATCTTTAATTTAATTATTTGCAACTAAATACTATAAACTTAGAATGTCTTTGCGACCACTATGAGCTATGAGCTACCAAATGACAAATAGTGACATGCTCAGAAAAGTCATTCTTTCATACATTCTGCCCTTACCATTCTAATACTTATCATCTGGAGGAGGATATAGTATATCATCCATTTTTTAACAACTTTTTGGTAAAACACTTTTGAAACAGAAAAACTCTTCTATAAATTTTAGTAGAATTGATGAAATTTTTTATTTGTTTAACCTTAAATTCATTGTTTGTTCAAGATTATCTGTAAAATTGAATGGTGCTTACATTGCTAACCAATTATTAAAGCAGAAAATTTCCTTTCTAGTTTATGTTTGCTTATGAAAGCAGATTGAATTAATTAGGTACTTTTGTTAACCTGATATATTTTATATATATTTTAGAAGCCTAATATATTTTAAGTACTCCACTTACAGCTTATATTGATTATTATTTGGTTTAGATTCAGTTAGAAATGACTGATGTATAAGAAATTGATTAGTTTGTGATTTATTTAATCTGATTGCCAATGTTTAAGCACAACTCTCTTAATGTGGCTTAAACATGGATCATCAGAATAAAAATAATTAAAATTTTATTTGTTATATAAATTAGGCCATTATTCACCAACATTTTATTTATTAGCTATTTTATTATGACAACATTTCGACCATCAGGGCCATTTTCAAATCTTATTGAGTACTCCATTAAATTTCCATTATTCAATGTTGTATTAATTTTTCAGAGAAACTTAAGTTTTCCTGATATTTTAAAGTTTTCTCTACGTCATTTCTGGAGGGACTGAAACGTTATCGTAATAAAATAGCTAATAAATAAAATATTGGTAATAATGGCCTAATTTATATAACAAATAAAACCTCAACACACCAATTCTAGGAATAATGAATAGAATTAATTAAAATTGTTTTTTTAATATTTTCTATCCCTATCCAATTCTCCCAATGGAACAAAATTTTTACGATATTTTTAAATATTAAATCTTATATTTTTAGTACGTATTTTATTTTAAAAATTAAAATTATACTTTATGCTTGAACTAAATGTTATGATAAATAATTTTATACCGGTAATATTGTTCTTCTCTCAATACATAGATAGATAGATAAACAAACATATTATTTTCTCATTGGAATTACTATTAAGGCAAGTAACTCCACAATGTATATTTTGCTTTTCTTTCTTTTTATATTTTAACTAATCAAGTTTTATAAGGATGAAATAAAATTGGCAAGAATTTTAGTAAAAACTTCTTTGATGAGTTAGCCTGTTTAGACCCAAACATGTGGGTCATCATCAGGTCTAAAAATTACATAATATAAAATAACATCAGAAAAATAATAAATTTACAAGTTTAAGAGTAATAAGAGTGAAGAATAGCAGTAACAAGGTACCAGTAATAAGAATAATTAAATAAGATAATAGAAATAAGACTAAACAATAAATGAAATTCCTTAGAAACAAAAATCATTTAGTATGAAAGAATATTTGGAATTAATAAAAGAGGTAAAATCTGGCTTAGTTGAAACAGCACTTAACAATGAAACTTTAATTTATGTATAGCAATTGATTTAAAACCAAATAGTTTATCAATTTATTAACTATGAGTTAATAACTTTTTCTTTTGATTTTATTTTTCCCTGTTGTCTTGAAAAGGAGTCCATTATCAGAAATCATGGGTTCTTGTCACTCAATGAATACTTAGCAAAAATTCTGTCTGAGACTGAGTCATCAAAAATTAAAAAAGTGAGTGGTTCTGGAACTAAATCATGTTTTAGTCACCCTATGAATATGTTACTTTGGATAGAGAATGGAAGCATGGTACTAATATTTGATATTAAAAGTTTACCTAATGTGATTATGATATGAGTAATATACTGCAACTGAATATAGCTTAAACATTATTTCTACATTAATTAGTTATAAAATAACCATTTTAGGCTTCTTTCAGTCTACTCTCACATTAGCACCTTTCCTAACCATGATATGCCCATCACTTGTAAGAGAACAAGTAGAAATAACTGCTATCCAACTGTCTATAATCATGCTTGGATACCTTTTCCAATGTTACAAGATTATTTTTGGATTAATGTACTTCTGAAATATAAATGAATCATAAACAGAAGTATCTGCACAGTACTATTATGTTTATTTATCTTATGATTATAAATTTTATTTATTTATTACTTTATTAATATATAAGAGTTAATGTTTTTCTCATATATTATTCATAGTGCCATATTATTTATCTTGTCGATCTCATTATGTACATATATGGGCTACAATTTATTGCTGAATCAGGGCCATCTCTAATCTCTTTTCGCCATTTATCTCTATTCTGCACAGCATCCATCCAGTCCATTATTCCAAGAATATTCCTGGCATCTACCCAGCCATTTCATTTTGGGTTGTCCACTCTTCTAGCTTGATAGAGAATTTCCATAGCTAATTTTTTAGGGATTTCATTCTCATCCATCCTGGCGAGGATCTCACTGATTCAGTTAGCAACATCTGCATTCTTGAAAAGTTAGGCCCAAAATTCTTCTTTGTATTTAAAAAAATAGCAGCCCTTTTTCCTCAGCCTTATTGTATGCTCCATCTTCAGATCCATATGTGAGGACTGAACAAATAAGGACTTCACAAACCCTCACTTCGGTCTCATTATTAATAAATCTACTTTTAAATTGCTTAATGAGGCCAAATAGCACCAGTTTGCAGCTACAATCTGATGTTTAATACCTTTATGTTAATTATATAATGACTACGTCTCTCTATCGACCCACTTTCGTATCTGGCCCTAAAATAGTTTTGTATTTAGTTTTTACCATAGTAATATCCTTTTTTGATATTTTTACAATTGTACAATAATTATAAATCTTGCAGATCCTGTACCTGTGAGAAAATATTTGTATAAAAACAATTAAATGTTCAAAGGTCAATGATTTATATAATTAATATTGTACAGAATTGTGAATTTTATGATTTATTTTTCCTTTCTGGCCTGGAATTTGAATTGTAAAATTATCCTTATTTTACAATAATTATCTTAATAGTGTCTGTTAGGTGAAATTGGATTTGTCTTGACAGTAGAAGTCTACTTAGGGAAGACTGATATATAGCTCTATTTCCCTTTGTCAAAAAATAAACTTTCGCTAGAAATTTCTAAAAAGCAGTAGTGAAAGGTTTCCAATTGAACAAGTAGAATAGCAACCAAGGAATGAAGAGTGAGAGGATAAATAATTAATTGAGGAACTTTTTGCTATCTACCAAGCTATAAATTGTTCTTACTATAAACCAAGTTGCTACTGGTCTCTCTAAGTTACTATCTTGAGGCCCTGCCACTGCTGGTATTAGATGATGAGACCTGCGTATATATACAGGAACTGCCTCATACTATATGTCTGTTAAGAAAAAGTCTTTTGGGCTAAGGAAGAAGCTGGGTAGTTAAGATGATACAGTAGTAACAGGATTCCATGTTTAGCATTTAGGTCAAACTACAGGATATGAAGCCTATCTGGAAATAAAGTTATAGAAATTAAAGAAAAATGCCTAAATATAAACCGCTATGAATATTCTTGGCTACCAGGAATCTTCTTAATATAAGGAGTAGAGAACTTGAAGGGGGTCCATGCACATTCCGTTCAACTGTCCGTGTATTTTAAATGAATCTTGTTAAAAAGTTGTAAATAAATCCTGGCCAGAAGAAAAAACTGAAATGAATGTTTGTAAGCCTCATCTCAGTTTTTCCTCTATATCCTTCAATTGTTTTCTTCATTTGATGGAGCTAGTCCTCTTTGGTATTCTTAAAAATAATGAATAAAATTTTAAAAAATGTTGTTACACTTTATGTATATGTTATATCTATTTTTTATCGGACTAAGGTGAAGCCACAAGGAGGGTAATGTGTTCAAATTATTCATATAGTTTGAGATATATTTTCGAGAAACTATTTTTGTTAGCTCCATGTTATATCATGTGTACATTTATGACTAAATGTGACAAATGTAAAATGTTGATTCTTAAACAAAATTTAACAAAAATAATTTTAAAAAACAACTACAAAAATAATCCTATCCAATCTAAGACCAATGTCTGTATTAGTCGATGCCTTCCACAAGGCAATACAGATCTTGGCAAGTACCTTTTATTCCATGCGCCAGTGCATGCGAATATCCAAATGAGTCTTGAGTTCTGCCCAGGGGTGAAGAGCTTCCGACTATGGCAAAAAGTAAGGATCCATAGACATCAATTTTACTAACAATTTACCAATTTGTATCAAATAATTATGCTAATTCATTACCCTTAGGTAGGATAGGATTATTTTCTTAGTCAGATTTTTTAAAATTAAGTTACTTTATAAACAGTTAATTATCTAATAATTAATAAAACCATCACCCATTTTTTTTTTCATCCTAAAAAAGGTACAAAAATAATAACACACTTCTTTATTAACTATAAAAAAAAACTTTATAGGTTATATCACTCATTCATATATGTAACATTTCAACCTTTTTGATAATTTTCCAAAATATCTTTATAAACTATTTACCACCTATAATATATATATTTTTTAAATAAAGATCAATTTTTTTCTCTAAAACAAAATCTTATTTTTGTCAGTCAAAAACTCAATGGTATTTTTTTCTAAAAACAGAAAAATATTTTATAAAATATATATTGTAACATCCCTCTTATAATTTACAAATAATAAAATAACCTTGGAAGATCAGATCGGAAGAGCCGTTTTTGAGAAAATTATGAAAATGTGTTTCAGCGTTGATATAAAGTGGCACTTCCGGTTAGCCGATTTTAAGGAAAAAGTTGCTGTCACATCTAAGGCATATACCTATCTTAAATACGTAATACCAGTTTCGTAGAACTTTTCGTTTTTGAGCTAGACTGCTAACGTACAAACACATAGACCATTTTTCGGGAGTTGGTCATTTTGACTCAGGGTACCTCGAAACGTCTATTTCTGTTGAAAACTCGGATTCAAAAATTTTCACAATCACAATACTTACCCTTACTATATATTATATATATTCTCTATATACTATATATTATATATATACTTACCCTTACTATATATATTCTCCCTGCCACACTTAAGGAGACAGCCCTGATGAAGGCCTGAACTTCAGGTCGAAACGTCGGCATATTTAAAAAATAAATATTATCATTTATTTTTGCCTTTCTTTTTGATTGAACACCCCAACTATTCTTCTCTTCATTATATATTACATATATTGTAACATCTCTCTTATATTTGACAAATAATATAACCTCATGGCAAACCACTTTATACCATTGGGATACGTCCTAAATAAATAAGAGGTTATTAAATAATAAACAAAATTATAAGAGTATTAATATATTTATTTATCTCAGGAGTGGGTTACTGACAATCAGATCAATTCAGACAAGCTATTATTATTACACTATTTATACTAAAATTAAACACTGATTTTGAAACAAAGTCAAGTATGAATTGGCAAGTTAACCTTTTTTCTATAGATACTATTTCTTCCTTTGTTGCACTAAATTCATTTGTCTTCAACTACTTTCCAATGTTCTGCCAAATACAACTTTCAAAATAGTGACACTTTCTTCTACTCAACTCAAGCTTCCTGGGAGATACTCTCTGTTATAATTCCAAACAACTCTCTCTCTCTCTCTGCCAAACAACAACTTCTAAGAAGATAAATCTATTACTGGGTTTTACCCACTGGAGCCAGGATACCTTCTCCTAACCTCTCTTCACTACCTTCACACCAGCTGCTGCCAAAACAAAAACCTTTGTCCCTCTCCTCTATGGGATTTTCCTTCTTGGGAAACTACACAGCAGCCATTTTCTTTTCCCTGCACTAGTAGAACTAGATGGCAAGCTAATTGTTTGAATTGTTCAACATTAATTTATGAAACCCTTTTTACTCACTTCCAATAAAGGTGTACATTACAATATTTATATAGAAGAATTTGTAACCAAACAAAAGGATGAAAATAATATTTTTTTTTTATTTCATAGGCAGTCCAACTTTTGATTAAAGTTAGAAAAAATTATCATTAATTTAAATATTATTTGTTTGATATTTGTTTAAGTTAATAAAATATCTATCATTATATATACTTGCATGAATATATGTGTTTGTAAACATTTTTAAATAATGTGTTACTTGAGGATATGCTGTTGGTAGAGAAGCTATATGTTTCATTTCCTTTTTTTTTCTCTTTAAGTTTTTAATTTTCTCCTTTCTCAAACATGTTTATTGCAATCATTAAGGTCTGAAATGACTAAATACTGCATGTTTATTTTTTATTTTAATATTTATAATCTTAATAAAATGTAAGTTAACAAATACATTATTAAAATGTTTGTCTAGTTAGTGTATCTTTACCCCACATCTGTTAATCTGAGCAGGTCGTTAGCTTTACTTCAATGGAACTTTTTCTTGATTGTTAAAAAGAATATCCATGCATGAGAATACCTTATTTATGACTTATTTTCCTTAAATGACATTTTCATGTTTTAACTTGTGACCTCTTTTTTTTTCATAGTGCTCATCAGAAAAAAAATCTGATAATAGTGGAAAAGAACAGCTATCCGGAAAATTTTTAGCTGAAACACCACAGGAACTCACAAGCCCTACAGAAAATTGGTGGTCAAAACACGGATGTCAGGGCAAAAGCATGCCAACCGCAGCATATCTTAAAGATTTGAGGATACACAGGTATTAGTAAAATAAAAATTAAACTAGTTTTATTAGAAAAAAGAATAAGTTTGTGTTTGTAAAATAGCCAAGGTTGGCTCCACTTTTTAGTTACACCTCCCTCTTCCTCCTTATTAAAAGTAGTAATGTTTAAATATATTAGTAATCTATTTTTTTTTATTTTTATATTATCTAAAGTTTATATTATATTTGTATTAAATATTATATTCTTTTTTAAAATTATTATTGATGTTATGTTAGTACTAACTCTGTCTATGTTTTAATCTAGGCATTCTCTTACATACCGTGGTGCCATGCTCAACATCAATCGCTATAGGCTAAGAGCATCATCATGCCCAGACATTTATAGAAACTCTATGACAACAATCGCCAAAGAAAAAGTTGAGGTTACTCATTTAAAATTTTTATTTTTACAAGTTCTCACCATTATATGTGAGGATCATCTGTTTGTTTTTATTATATTTAAATATTAAATACTGTAAAAAATGTTGGCAATTCTTATTAGAAGATTCATTGTCACTTCAATTTACTATACTATAAAATTAATTATAGAGATAGTTTTGCTATTTTTTTTTCTGATTTAAACTATATGTTAGTTCAAAATGATGAAGAAATTGGTCAAGAAAAACCAATATCATACATCTATGCCATAATTATTAGTTTTTTTTTAATTAACATTTTTAATAATTTTCAGTTTAAAATTAATATATGTTTGGCTTAAATATTCACTTCTTTATAAATATAGCAGATGCTTTAAATACTTTTTTGGAATAAAAATGTTTTGTGTCCTATTCATAAGAAGGGAGACCTTCTAGAGTATAATAATTCATTGAGACATCTCTCTTCTGGCATCCGCCTATAAGATTTTCCACAGTGTATATTATAATATTATGTTCTTGTTTGGTCACTGTTAGGGCACCAAATCTTATCTAATTTAATATTCTTTAGGCAGCTTTATTTAACAACTAAATTTAACAATTTATATATTATTGTTATCAATTAATTGTAATTCAAATTATTATTTTAATATTAGGCCTTGAATACACAAATACAAATACAAGCAACCGACACTTGAGAAAACATTGCTTTGCTATCTCTGATGAATCTGAAAAACTTATTCCCAAGTTAACTTCAAACAGTCTGACCAAATATACATTAACAACACCAATTAACTTACTGAACTGCGCCCAACTAACTCCCTTATGGACTATTAGTAGAAGAACTACTAATTCTGAACCTTTCTTGACCAATCAAGACTGTAGTCTTATTTTAGTGCCATCTACATGTTTCTTATAACTTTCATTATTTTATAACTTTTTATAATCAAAACCATTGTAATATTCAATTTTAAAAAATATTGCTTTATTTTGCTCTGATTGAAGTGAATAATCATTATATATTATTTTTAAAGTATTTAAATAAATAACCATTATATAAATAGGCAAAGGCAAAATAGTTAAGTACCTTTATATCTTATATTTCTCAACTGATTTTCTTTATTTATGTTTTGTTTAGTAGCTATTGAGTAACTTTACTGCCATCAAAAAATTAATTTTTGGGAAAAGTCATAAAAAATAAAAATTTAAATGTCAGTTTGTTCACAACCGGTAACCTCCAAAAGTTTTTAACCAATTACTTTGAATTTGATACAACATTGTATTCAAATTCAGAAGTGTTTTTATATACATTTGATTACCATCCGGCCTTTCATTTCGAAATGGTGACCAAAAAATGTGGGTCGCTGTAGACTGTTGCCCGGCTGTAACAATTTACATGAAACTTGAAAAATTCTTCTCCTTGAAGCCCTTTTTATTTATGTATTTAAAAAACTTCCCTGAAAATAGGCTGAAATAAAAGTAACGATGAATTTAGAATTTTATTAGGAAATAACTCAAGAACTACACAAATGGTAATGAACTACTTTATATTGTAAGTACTTTAAAAAAAAAAATAGAATCATGCAAATTCATGTATTCTTTTCTCAAATTTTCTGTAATGATGTTTTTTTTTTTATTTGTTTATTTATAAATATAATAATCTGTCAAGTGGACAATAATTATTGTGATTTATGAACACATTCACACCATATATACAGAAAATATAAAATAATCAAAAGTAAAATAATAACTAAATAATAAACAAAAACTATATACAATAAAAAATAAACTAACCTAAAGATAAGTAAATTAAAAACATAAAAACACAGTCATACCTAATTATTATGGTTTAATGTTGACAACTAGGTGTTGTAACATTAGTATTGTCTGATCAATATTAGTAATAAATTAAATTTACAATACCAAAAAAAGAGAAGTCTTCCAGTTCAAGTCAATTAATGTCATTTGCAGAGAAGAATAGTATAGCCCAGTCAAATTAGCACAAAAAAGTGATGTATCTTGCAAAAGGTCGGGTAATTCAAATTTCGTTTTTATATTGTTAGATATGCAGTGACTATAAAAAATCCAAGTTTCCGCCCTTGAAAGTCTTGAAATTTCAAATTCTTTTAGTTTACTCTAAATATCTCCTTTTAAAAGCGAGATAGAGAAAAATTGGATACATTAAATCATAAACAACTTAAAATCATCAAACAATTTTGTACATAACATTTTTTTATAAACCCAATAGAAAATGAACTATCAAAATTTCAAAATGGGTAAAGTTTTAAAAATTTGAAAAACAAGTATGATTTTGTTTTTAATTAATCCTTAGACAACTCCCTCCTAAAGCTGTCATATTCCTTACATACATATACAATAGCATCCTACGAACCACCCACTTTCCTCTTTTGTGGAAACATTCCACTATTATCCTGTTTCCGAAACCAGGCAAACCTCCCAACACCTCAACGTCCTACAGACCAATTAGCCTTCTTCCTATTCTCTCAAAAATCTTTGAAAAGATCCTCCTAAAACGCATCCTACCCTTTATAGAATCCCAAACTCTTCCTTCCCATCAGTTCGGATTTCGTTCACAACACTCTACAGTCCAACAAGGACTCCGAGTGGTTGATCATATTTCCGCAGCATTGGAAAGCAAGCAATATTGCTCGGGTGCATTTCTGGACATAGCTCAAGCTTTCGACCGGGTATGGCACGCCGGGCTTCTTTCCAAGCTGAAAAACTATCTTCCTCAGTCCTTGTACCTTGTTCTCCGTTCCTACCTCTCAGATCGTACCTTCCGAGTTCGTTGCGGTACTGAATTTTCGCATTGCTATCCAATTGAGGCAGGTGTTCCTCAAGGTAGCGTATTGGGTCCCGTCCTTTACATCCTCTTTACCGCCGATATCCCTGTCCATCCCGATACCTTCCTGGCAACTTTTGCTGATGACACCGCTATTCTATCATCCGACTCAGATCCCAACAAAGCATCCTTAAATCTCCAAAACCACCTCACCTTGATTGAGCACTGGTGTAATAACTGGCGCATTAAAGTTAATGAATCTAAATGCCAACACATTACCTTTACACTCCGACGCAGTTCCTGTCCACCAGTACACTTTAATTCCATCCAGCTTCCTTACTCAGACACAGTCCGGTATCTTGGCTTTCATTTAGACCGAAGACTGACGTGGAACCCACATACTAGACTCAAAAGACAAGAACTCAACCGACGATACGGCCAGCTATACAGACTACTAAACAGAAAATCCAAACTTTCTATTGAAAACAAATTACTTATCTACAAGACAATACTGAAACCTATATGGACATACGGACTTGAACTGTGGGGTACAGCAAAAGCTTCTAACATCAAACGTATTCAATCCTTTCAATCTAAAGTCCTTCGAACAATAGTTGATGCTCCGTTCTATGTAAATAACAAAATCCTACACCATGACCTTAATATCCCATTTGTCCTAGACCTTATTCCAGAAAAATTCTCCAAATTTCACCAGAACCTTACCTATCATCCAAATCCCCTTGCACAATCTCTATCCAGCACCACCCATCCTTACAATCCTCCTCGAAGGTTGAAGCGGCAGTGGCCCAGAGACCTTTTGTAAATAAGCATCTATTGGAGTTTTGGCAATGGCCAGATCCTCCACTCAAGCCCGAGTGTGTATGATTAGGTTAGTTCTTTTGTTTATATACATTTATTTTATTTTATTGTATTTATTTTTATTTTATTTATTGTATTTATTATTATTAAGTTTCTGTATTATTTATTTTTTTTTTTTATTGTAAATAGAGTGTGAGTGTGCTTTCTCTGAACACTATTATCAATGTCCTTGATGTGACAGAATGTAATATTTCTAAATAAACAAATAAAAAAAAAAAAATTAATTCTCTATTTTTATTGATCACTTAGTTCAATTTTTAAATATTATATTAAATATTAAAGCACACATAATTTACAATTAGCAATTTACTACTGCTTTTATACGAAACATATTTTTCTAAACCTAACAACTTAAATACAAATCGCTAAAAAGAAATAGATATTTTTAAATTTGAAAAAATCCTTCTAAATTTATTTTTACTGTTTTCCATTTTTTAATGAAATTTTTCATCAATAATTACTGTTTTTCTTCTTACTTTTAATGCCACATTTATGCTAAATCATTCAGTATTCATTAATGGAATAGTGCTATACAAGAACATTGGAAATAAAAAGAAGAAAACAATTTTTTTTTATAATTAAATTATTGTATTAACATTTGTTCGTTAATACGATCAAAATAATATAATAAAAACATTATTATGATATTTATGAGTACTGAACGATGTGGCAGAGGATACCAGGCACCTATGCCAGTGCCGCTTTTCCCCCGATTAAGTGTATTTTCTAAGTACCTACTTCAAAAATTAAAAAAAATAATCAGTGTTTTAGAAAGAAAAATGTATTCTCCAGATGTTTCATTTCTGGACGTTTTTTGTTATTTTTGGCCATTTACTTACAAACGATGCTTCATTATCAACTTTAGTTTGAATGACTAGAAAAAATTTAATTTACTGGCGTTTTTCATTACCAATACGAATTTTTTCATGTTTTATTATTTCCTAACTATTCAACTTTAATAAAAGGCCAATTATGACGAAATTAAGCCTGATGCTGAATTTCAGAGGCCGAAAATCTAACTTATGTTAAAGACCTCAATCCGACATTTTGGGACATTGCGGTCACTATTTTAGTTGGTACTTTGGTTTTTTTAATAAATAGTTACAAGGAACACAACTATATGCAATTTATTGAGGTTGGGGGGAGAATGAATGGTAGGGGGGCTCATAGAGTAACATAATTTTCAAAACACGTTTCGACTGCCATCTACCCTTCCAATCAATGGCTTATTATCTTCAAGGAAAACCTCTAAATTCTCTGGACAAGGTTCAAAATAGAGTTACAGAATCCTTCTGTTCAAAACTGAGAGAGCACTATTGGAAAGGAATCGAAATGGGTAAGTTTTGAAAGCTCGATAGTTCGCTTCCTGTTGGGTTTAGAAAAAAATGTTATTTACATAAATTTTAGATAATTTTAAGCTGTTTAAGATTGAATGAAACTATTTTTTTTATATATTTCTCTCTAAAAAGAAGAAATTTAGCATTTACCAAAAAAAGTTCGAAATTTAAGTGGTTTTTGGAGCAGTGCTGCGAACCCACAAGTCGTTCAAGGGTGGAAACTTGGATTTTTTATATTCTCTACATACCTAACAATATAAAAAATAAATTTGAATTAACCAACTTTTTTCAAGGTAACATGTCTAATTTGACTGGGATAGTATAGATTCAGATCTGAATTTCAAGATGTTTTCAAATCGCGGTAGCCTCTGCCATTTGACTATTGACTCCTAATCACAAGTTCTAATCCCAACTCATGGGAAGACTTAAAATTTTCTTAATTGAGGAGGCTTGTAAAAAGGCTAACATTTTTACTTATTTATATTTGTATAAATATAAATTTACTTTGCATAGTAGCAGTATAATTTATAAATTTGTCAATCTATATGGTAACATTTTTATATATTTATTGTTTTAGTGGTATGCAGAACTTTTATATCTTCTTGCAGATATGTTAGACTTTTCTTTCTTTGTACACCCAAAATTCTTACTATTTGCAATGTCCAATTTTCTTCTTTACACATGGTATGATGTGCCATACATGTATCTTGCAGATGATGCAATAAAAAGAGGATTTGGAGAAACTGGTGCTTCAATTATAATTTCTGTGATTGGCATATTTAATATGGGTGGAGAGGTATGTTCAATTATTTTTATTTAAACCTCAGCAAAGTATAATTATTAAGTATATTAAATGCCAACATGTCATGCTCCTGTGATTTTTTAGAAAAATAGAAGAATCATCATGCTTTTATTATAATTGTATATTAGTCAAGCATAATAAATTCTATATTTCTTTTATATTTTGAATTATTGTCATAGTTATGTATACAATTATCACATTAATAAACTATAACAGTAAAACATTCAACAAATTGGGAAACTTGAAAAATAATCATAAAAAATTGTTTGTTGCTGTATTCATAAAAAAATTGTTTGCCAAGTTCCTAATAAATTAAATTATTAAAAATATTTTGGGATGATTTTTCCTTTCTTATTTTCTGTTTATCATTAATGATGAACATTTCCAAATTTATAAATTATTTTCTGGCGAACTTAGGCTATTACAAAGTTTTTGAAATGCATTTCTAACAGAGTTCAACCTTCAACCTTACAACCTTAACCTGTAAAAACTCATTAAGACCATTAAAATATTGCAAACTTTTATTTACTATAAAAATTATTCATTAATTTCAAATTATTCACTAATTTGATTTTCTATAATTTTACATAATGATTTTTCATACTTTCTCATACTATATCACATATATAGATAAGTTAAAGTAAAAACCGACTCCATAAATCTGGAAATCCTATCCACCATAAAGAAATGTACTTCCATATCTACTTAAAACTTATTGGTAGATTGATAGGAAAATTGACATTTACGAATATTTAAACTTGGTGTATGATATTTAAACTTTGTGTAACCTGTGCATTTCTACCACATTTCTGGGGTGCCTACCACACTCCAAACTCGAGAATCTTTTGGATGTTGAAATATTACTAGGGGTAGGATGGCTAAGCTGGCTAACACATGAACGTAGTACCACACATTGGCCGAAGCCTGATAACTGAAGTTATAGATGATAAAATAACTATGAGTTTGCCTCCTGATGCTGGTGAGGGCTTTTAACTCTGGCATCAATGGGAATTGAAATGCCTTTCTCACCCGTTGTCCCGGGAAAACTCTATAGCCTAAAAGGTGAGGAAGGAGAGAACAAAAAAAGTTATATGTTGAGATCTTACATATAATATTATTTGAAAATAATACAAATTTGAGAATACTTAAAATATAATTAAATTTGGTTTCAGTATTTTTATTTGAAGTTGTTTCAAAACATTCATGAAATCTCACTTTTTCATTTGATTTGAACCATTCAGAACACATTTTATTGAATAACATGTCAGTGTTTTTATCTCACATTGTTGCAAAACGCTCATGAGATCTCACTGAATAATTTAAGATCTCAAACTTATAAATCAATAAAGCTGTTTACTCAAAAAGGCAACCCAAACACATAACCCTTGTGTTGCTTCGCTTAGTCGGGTAATGCCATGAAATACAACTTCAATTTGTCAGCTTTTATTTTTATGTAATTTTTTTCCTTTTGTTTTCTCATTAATGGACATTTCTCTATCATAGATAAATATCGATACTGCATAGGTATCTACTATAAAGGAGTTTTACTGTATATGCTATGGGTCACTCAATGAAAATACTTAAGTAATCTATAGAAGACGCCAACCTCTCACTTAGATCTTTTCTTGTTTTATTATGTAAAAAAAATCCTGTGATTTTCTGAATTGGGCTCTAGGTTAATATGAATTCAATCAGAGAAATGTTTTTTATTGGGATTGGAGACTGATTTAAGACTGAGAATTCTCAGAAAGTATAATGGCACTGGAGTTTTATAAGGAAATAGATTACTTGTGTTATCAAAAACAGTATAGTTTCCTTAGCAACAAGGAATATTATTTCATGATCATTTTCAGTTTGTATGATAATTTCAATATATATTTTTAAATTGCAGATTATTCTTGGTTGGGCAGGGGACTTTCAGTGGATTAATGCTAACCTGGTTTATGCTCTCTGTATGGCTTTATGTGGAGCTGTTGTGGCAATGATGCCAGTGATCTCTTCATATTATGCATTGTGCACTCTAGCAGGTGCTTTTGGTCTATTTATCGCTGCAAATTATGCTCTTACATCTATTATACTTGTCGAATTAATAACACTTGAGAGGTTCACTAATGCATATGGCCTTCTACTTTTGGTACAAGGCATAGCAAACTTGGTTGGACCCCCTCTTGCAGGTAACAAACAAAATATAAAGTCAGAGTTAATATTTAATTATCTATACTTATATTTATTAATACTTTATTTACCAATGAATTTGAATTTGTTATTTATTTTTTTTTATACATTATACTTTACTTTAGATGACTACAATGTTTTCAAAACTTTTAGGTTGGCTGTATGATATCACAGGAACCTACAATCTGTCATTTTACCTAGCAGGAGTGTTTGTTGCTATATCAGGAGTACTCCTTGTTGTTCATCCATGCTTTCAATTATTTCAAAGATTGAATAAACATTCACAAGAGAAGCCAGCTAGTAAAGGACAACAATGTATTTGTTAAAGATGCTGTGAACTGGCACAGAGGGAACTTTGTATCTTTTTTTTTTTTTTTTGTTATTTATTTAGTTTTAAAGTTATATCATAGACTGATATTAAATATCATATTAAATCTTTTTAAATAATTTTGCTCCATTGCTTCTTTCTCTCTCTTTTATAGAAAGGTAATGTCCAGCTCTTTTCATAAAGAAAAATTATTCTTAATAGAATTTAAAAATAAAATAAATTATTTAAGTTATGCTATGGATATTTTTTTCTCGCTTCTGTTAATAAACAAGTGTTAATAAATGGATTTTAATTGGATATATTTTCGGTATTGTTTATTTATTTTGAAACTTTATGTTCATACATTAATTTTCTTTTCTATAGAAAATTTCTTTTGATGATAAGAGACTAGGACAAAAAAAAAAAAAAAAAAAAAAAATATCGCAATAATGTGATGTATTTCTGTTCAATATTTTTTTTAGTAAATAAAAAAGCATAAATAAAATGAGTTCCATTTAGTCACACCCATGATTTTTTTTTCTACTTAAAGAATTATGGCTGAAATTATTTTTCTAGTGTCATTAATAACTTAAGGCAATCCCATAAAAACAAAAAATTAAAAAGCACTTTATTAAATGCGTGTAAATACATTTTTTTATATATATATATCTTTTATCATTTTATTTCTTTTTGTTGTTTTATTTATGTGTCCCTTTTTTTTATTTTTCCTAGAGTTTTTTATGTACTCGTTGATATCTTACAAATAATTATTTAAAAGTTATATATTTAAATTAGTATGAAGTAGATATTTATTGTAAAATGATAAATTCCAGATTTTTATCAGAATTCTCTTTGTCTTTCTTGTTATTTTTATATAATCAAATTATATTACTTTTTTTTTAATGTAGTAACTTAAAAAAATGTTTATTTTAATTATAAAATGGTACAACAAAACCTAATTAAAAAAAAATTAGGTTTCCTGTGAATTGGTATACAACTCAAAGTTACCCTGCATATTGAAAATGACAATAAAAACCAAAATATTGTAATTGTACAAACCTATGTACCAGTTCACAGTGAACTTGAAACCATAAGCCTAAAATTAAATTAAGCTTAGAAGTATTAGAATAAAATATTAGATTAGTTATCTAAAACAATTAATCAATAGAATAATTAACCTCATAAATGTTTAATATTTATATATATTATATGTATATTTTATATACATATATAGTGTATATTACTGCCTGCCTAATATTTAGTGGCATTTAAGAAAAGATAGTTATTGAAGAAGGCTTGTGATTTCTTCATGTTAAGAAATTGTATGTAAGTTAGAAATGACCAAATATCTGGCATGTGCCCAAGTTTTTCTATAGATGTATACAGTCTAGTAATGATTTAATCTCCTTTCATAAAGGAACTTAGATCTGTGATAAGAATTAATAAACCCTATGTTTTAAATATGTTTGTATTGTTATAATTATAGGATTAATGTAAATTGTTTATATATTAGACAGTATTTGTGATATTTGATAGTGTTACTTTTTCAAATATATTTTTTAATTTGGTTCCCTTCTAATAAAATGACTAGTCCTCTTACGACTATTGTATAAATGATTTTATTTGCCACTATATCATTGGGCAGTTTTTCATTACGAAGTTTTTATAATCTTCATATTTAATAATAAACTTTTTTGAAGTCTAAAATTACTCTCAGTCATGAGCAATTATTTTTTAATTAGTTTTGAAAGACTGTACATAAAACTATCTTGTCCAATTTTTTAATTCTTTTAAATAATAATAGTGATTATTTCCTTTCCTTAATGAGATTGTGAAATCTTTAGATCTCTAATTATATTTGATATTAGAGTTCAAGCACAATTTAAATATAGTAATATGAGTCAGTAGCATTGTCATTTAAGTCTCTGGTTTTAAATTAAAGTTTTATAGAAAATTTAATTTATTCAAACTAAAGGGAATAACAATTCTTTTACCATTCAGTAGTTTCAAATAAAAGATTTAGATCTTTTATGTGAAGCTTAACCTTAGATAAGCAATGAAAGAGTAATTTTCAGATTTATTCTTCAATATTATTACCAACTTTTATTACATAATAATGAATATGTATTTTACTAAGAGGGCAACTATTAATAGCCTTATTTAAAACATAAAACTATTTCTGTAGGTTATTTTTAAAGTGTTCACTCTTTTTCCAGTACAAAGTAACTTTAGGAGACTATGCCTTTTGAGAATAATTATATGTTAATAAACATGTACTGATACAATGTGATGCTTTTTTGGACTCACTTTTATTAACATTTAGATCCATTACTGTTAAGAAATTGTTAGAATAAAGCATGAAATAGTTTTTGATTTTTATCTATATTCCTTATTGTACTTAGCTCTTTTTTGCTTTCCTTGAAAATCCTTATCTTTATTCCAAGAAGCTAAATTTGAGTGTTTGATTCTATTTTTTACTGTTACTACAAAAATCGTTCTAATAAACAAGGAAGTTATTATCAACGCTGTGAATATCCTTGGTTTCTATGTGGCCGCAGTACTACAAAAAGTTTTAATTTTGTTTTATTTATTATTAATTAAATTTTATGATCAATAATTTATTCTTAATATTTTTAACTCTATAGTAAGTTGCTTTGTAGCACTCACTGATTAAAAAAAAAAAAAATACCCTTCCAATGATCAATATTTAATTTTTTTAACGTTTTTCGGTCAGCTGGAAATGTGTATTCTGCCAGTTCTTACTTGTGGTATCCTAACATAGACCTTAACCAAAAATGATGAAAAAGGCATTTTGATCTTTGAAAGAGAAATCCTTAGAATAATATTTGAACCAGTAGGATGGGACTGGCTTGGAGAATTCGGAAGAATAGAGAAGTCTATGAATTGTTTAACGAACCTAAAGTGGTCAGAATAATAAAATTAGGAAGGTTGCATTGGGCAAGATAAATAGTTCTGATGGAGAGATCTGAAATCCTGATGAGAGTAATTGAGGAGCCATTAGACTATAAAAGGAGAACTGGCATTCCGAAATTGAGATGGACAGATGGTGTGGTAGCTGATGGAAGAGATTTGTTAGGAGTTCAAAATTGGAATGTGGCCGCACAGGAGAGAGAAATTTGGTGGAAGTTCATTGATGAGGCAAAGACCCACTGACTGGGTTGTAGAGCCAGTAAGATAGATAGATAAATGAAAATATATATTTCCATAAAATATCTTGTTTTTTAAATTTTATGAATAACTCCGATAATATTAATACTACATAATCTGTTATACTATTTAAAAGAACAATCATTTTCTACAAGAAAAGACCATTGGTTTTGATAAATGTTCTAGATGTGGGTTGTTATACTATAATTTCTTTTCTGTATTTTTTTTCTCTCTTGCCTTTACTGACCGAGTAAAACTTTGACCATCTGGACCAGTCTCCTCCACCCGTCCTTGGCATTTCTGGCATATGAAGGGGCGGACCAAACCTTTTTTCTATTTTCTTTATTCTAACCGAAATGAGAAGATTGACATTCATTCTGTGGGTTCACAACAAAGTAAAATTCAATGTACAAAGAACAGATTGAAATGGGTGTCGCTAGTGGACAAAACTCTAGCACACTCAGCCATCATGGCCATTGCATCCAGCCCTGCAGTTTGTTCATTCGATCTGTCAATCTGATGTTTGGTCTCCCACATGGTCTGTCCACATACCAACTATTGAGCCATCCATTGTTACGTAGGGGCTCACTGATCACTGAGTTACATGTATCATCCATATTAACCTCCATGCCTTCATATCATCAGATATTGAATGACCAGTTTCTGTTAGCAGTTTTTTATTGGTCCTTCTTCTCCATGTGTTTTAATTAATTCCAGTTAGCTCCTGTTATCACGTGGAGTATTTTCCTCTTTGATAATATTAGAAAATGAAATAAATTGTATATGGTATCAAACTGATCAAATAACCAAACGATAACATGTTATTTATTTTTTCATAATAAAATAAAATATTCAAAATCAAGAGTGACTGAAATTTTTTACCTGACTTCCACAAATATTACATCTTTGTCGCCGATATTGACGACACTATAGTGGCCCATGCAAAAAAATATTTGATATTTTTGCAATAATGTTATCAATCAATTAAACAAGAAGAAAAAAAAAACCTTTGTCGTAGAGGCTTAGTAAATGGGATAAGTGGGATCTGGGACGGACACAACACCCCTGCTTGGGCTAAGCCTCCAAGGCTCCCTTAGCTCTTGATCCTAGTCACATTAATAATTAATAGAGCCCATTCATTAATAAAATTAATTTTTTTTTGTCAGATTCGTTTTAATTTTAAGACTGGATCTACAATATAGGAATTCATATACTTGTGAGAAATGCTTCCTGAAGTTTGGAACTTCACAATTTCTAATAATTAAAAAAAAAAAAACATAAACAGTTGGAAGCTTTAAAGAAATTGCTTCAAATTTAGAAAAATATGAAACAACACCAAAATTGCCAAATATATATAGGAAGCAATTTTTTTAAACAAAACTCTTATTTCTCCACTCCATCAAACAAACGTGGTTTCCAACAGTAAGTACAGAATGCTGAGAAAGGTGGAATGGAATATGGTAGAAGGTGGACAGTATTTATTCATATTGTATTTTAGTACTTATTGCATTGGATACTGAAAGCAGGAAATTTGGACTAGTGATAAATGAAGACCAAACCAAATATATGGTATTATCTGCTTCCGTAACCAGAAGAAAGCCACGATATTCAGTTATGGGTAACTATCGCTTTGAAGGTATTAATCGATTTACTTATCTTCAAGTGTAATTAAATTGGGAGAGCAAGGGCAGTGATGAGTTAAAAAGTATAATCATGGCTGGAAACAGAGCCTACTATGGCCTTCAGAAACTGATGAAATCAAGCTAACCAAATTGAAAATATATAGGTCTCTGATAAGACTAGTGGTGTGCTATGGAACAGAAACTGGACGCTGTAAGACTCAGACCAATTAGCCCTAAGTCTTTGATATCAATATATATTAAGACGTATTTTTGGCTCAGTATGCTCTGAGGACACCCAGTGAATCAGAAAGAACAGAGAGCTTGATGGCATCATGGGTATAGTCAGGTTTGTTAAATCAACAATAGCTAAGTTGACTTGGGCATATTGAAAGGTTGCCAGA